GCCACATGTGGCGATTGACAACTTAAAATGTATCTATCCTGAATGAAGATGTGCTGTACATACATAATGTAAACCAGATTTCAAAGCCTCACTCTCACCTTTTTTTTTTTTTAAACTTTTTAATGTGGCTCCTAGAAAATTAAAAATTACGTATGTGGTGTGCATTATATTTCTCTTGGACAATAGTGATCTATAATGTATATGAGTTGATTCTTACCCATAGTGATCCCATGTGGCAGAGTAGAATTGCTCCATAGGGTTTTTGTGGCTGTAATCTTTACAGATTTTTCATGCAGAGCCACTAAGTGGGTTTGAATAGCCAATTTTTTTGTTAACAGCCAAGGGCTTAACTGTTGTACCACCAGAGCGCTTTTCACAATGTAACTGGTTACCTGAAAAGTAAATAGGTAAAGACTGCTCTTAGGCAAGAGCCTGTTGACTAAATATATTATTGCAAAGCAAAGAGAACTTGGCATTTGGAGGCATTTAACTCAAGTTCAAGTTCCAGAAAACCTAAGTATCCTGGAGGCGGGCCACACCCCAAAGGCAACCCTCTCAAGTGATTAACTGCTCACAGTAGATTCCACCATGGACATAATTACACCAATCTCATCATGGGAACAACTACATCCAGCTGCCAAACCACTCAAAATCATGGCCTGGCCAAGTTGACAAACAGTTTTAACTACCACAGTAGGCTCAAGCATAGCAACATTTATGAGGATTATTCAGGACGGGGCAGCATTTCTTTCTGTTCTACATAGAGTTGCAATGAGCCAAAACCAACTCGATAGCACCTGACAACAACAACAAGATATTTCTTAATGCAAACCTACTATTTCAGTGAGAAAATAATGGATTCCTATTGTTAAAAGTCAGTGATATTAGTAGACCTAGGCAGATATTTCAGAAATGGCATGACCTTCAGTCCTGGTTTATCAGTAATTCAGGGTCAGTGTTTCAGAAATTTAGAAGCCTTCAGTTGACTTATGTGGTTAAGTGTTTGTATGTAATTCTTTAAATCATCGGATGTTAGCTTTTAGGGTATTATTCTTTTAGCTTTTATACAATTTAAATTTTTAAAACTTTTAGGTTGGAAAAAAGTAAATACTTTCTTTTGAATATTGTATGAAGAGTTATATTTAAGGTGAAGGAAGATGAATTGCATATATATGTATTTATTTAATTTATGTAACTTTACTGTCATTTTCAAGAGATCTTCATAGGTTCTAGTCTAAGTGTGAGCAAAAACTCTCCCCCTGCCGCTAATCTAAGTTAGTTTATGATGATGGTTGTCATGTCATTTATGTATAGAAAGATTCATTTTGGAAGTGATACACAAGTAGTGAAACTTAATTGTTTAAAATGTTTCCTTCACTATCTGTTCCTCACCCCGCCCCCACTGTGGTCGTTGAATAAGTTGAAAGGAAAAAGCTTTTGTATTCATTTGTTTATGAAACAAATAGCTTACTTATAAAATAAATAGCTTATTTATGAAACTGTGGTCTTGTCATAGTAGAGAACTAAGTCAAACATTCATAGACAAAACAAATTAATATTTGTGTTCCTCTCATATCTTACCAGATCAGTTACCAAATTTTGGGTATCATCAACATTGAAGCTCTTTTATCTGTTCTCACTGCCATCAGCTTAGTTTTGTTGTTGTTATTAGTCAATTGTAACTCATGGCAATCCCATGTGTAGAGAATAGAACTCCGTAGGGTTTTCAAGGCTGTGACCTTTTAGAAGTAGATCACCAGGGCTGTCTTCCGAGGTGCCTCTGGATGAGTTCAATCCTCAGCCTTTTTGCTAGTTGAGCATTTAACCATTTTACCATCTGGGAACTCCTGTCCTGGTGTATAGTACATAATTTTTTATCTAGATTATTGCATTTTTCTTTTATGTGGTCCTTTCCATCCTTTACTGTCTCATCTCTACTAAGATGAGTTAATTTCATGCTTGAAAGTCTTTGTTTCTTCAAAGCTCTTATAATCATACACAAGACTTTTCATGATAGGACCTACAGCCTCCTTCTCAGTCATAAACTCTAACACTGTCACCATCACCAGTTGCAGATACTATTCAACTGTCTTCTGGCTTCTATTATTGCTGTTGATAAGTCAGGCTGCCATGGTAATTGCAGTATTTTCTTTTGGCTCTTAAGAAATTTTTTTTTTTTTTAACCCTCTGTTGTACAGTTTTACTATGATGTACCCAAGTGTATATTTTTGTTTACCCTGCTTACAATTCTTTACCTTAAGTGAGGATTGGTGTCTTTCAACAATCCCTGGAAAATTTTCAGCCGTTATTACTTAAAATGTTGTCTTTCTTTATAGAAGTCTGGTTAGATGCATTTTGGACCTTTTCACTCTGTATTATCTATGCCTTTTTTTTTTTTTTTTAATTTCCCCAAGTGAAGTGTGTGAAAATAGGTAAATGTACAATGGAAAATTAATCTCTGGTTCACCTGTAAAAATGATATAATCCAATAAAAATGATGTAGAAAAAGATGTAATGACATAGAAAGATACTTAAGTTAGAAAAAAAGTTACAAATACGGTACGCATTAGTGAACATCTTTTTATTAAAAAAAATTTACCAGAGTAAAAGGACAAATGGTATTTACTAAAATTTTAACATTAGTTTCTTTAACATCATAGGATGATGGATGATTTTGTTTGACTTTTTTTTTTTTTAAACTTTCTATTGTGATTTGAATGAAAGTTTACAGAACAAATTGGTTTTCTATTCAATAGTTCATACACATTTTGTTTCATGACATTAATTGAAAACACTCTTCCCACACCTTCCTTGTCTGTATGTTTCTATTCGCCCTTTTTTTTTCTATCTCTTCCTTCCTTCTGAATTTTGTTGTTCTTGTTGTTGTGTGCCGTCAAGTTGGACCCGACTCATAGCAACCCTTCCTTGGGTTTCTGAGGCAGTATCACTATGGAAGTAGATTGCCCCATCTTCCTTCCGAGGAGTGGCTGGTGGGTTTGAACCGCCAGCCTTCTGGTTAGCGGTCAAGTGCCTTAGGCACTAGCTAAATGGTGCATATGGGGGGTGGGTGCAAAGTAATGAAAACTTCTTAGTCAAAACCAAAAACTTTGAGGGAAAAGACAGTGAGCCTGGGGGCTCAGGACTACAGTTTCAGGGGACACCAAGGTCAATTTGTATGACATAGTCCTCAATGTAGTTCTACATCCTACTTTGGTGAGTAGTGCCTAGAGTCTTTTTTTGTGTGTGTGATTTGGGTGAAAATTTACAGAGCAAATTCACTTTCCATACAGCAGTTTATATACACTTTGTCTCATGACATTGACCACAATTTACCAAAATGCAACAGCTCCCCTCCTTCTTCCTCCCGATAGTTACCTCTTCCCTGTGTCCATCCCTCCATGCACTCCTGCACCCTGAGCTGTCTCCCTGTGCATAAGCAGCTCTTCTTTCTCCCATGATTGTTCTCTCCAAGGAGTGTATCTACCTCAGGTACATGTTCAACTCATATGCCTGTCTATTGTTTGGTTGAAAGCCATAAGTGTAGGTTCAATTCCAAACCTGAAGGGCAGGTAGGGGCCGTAGTTTCAGTGGTTCCACCAGAGTGCCTAGAGTTTTAAAAGCTTGTGAGTGACCATCTAAGTTGCAGCTATTGGTCTCTCCTTGTCTGGAGCAAAGAAGAGTGAAGAAAATCAAAGATGCAAAGAAACAGTCCAGAGGGTGACTGATGGCCTGAAGTTTCCATGACTGAGAAACCAGAGCTAGATGATACCTGGCTACCAGTGCTGAGCACTCTGAAAAGGATCACAGTAGGAGGTTCTGGACAGAGTGGGAGAAACATGTGGAACAAAACTCAGAATCATAAAGATGATCGGGCTTACTGGTCTGATAAAGACCAGTGACTCCAAGATTATGGTCATGATCCATAGACATCCTTCAAGCCTTGAACTGGTTTGGCTCAGCTTTCAGCCAAACTATAGATAGGCCTATAAGGTAAAAACAACACCAAGGAGGCATACTCTTCTTAGAACAAAGAAGATTACTTTTAAATTAAGGAGCGAATGTTACTAACTCCGAATTAGCCCATCTTCTCTAATGGTTCACTCTGCAGAGTGAAAACGCTGCTATTTCTGGTTATTCACTTATAACTTTGAGTGACCTTCAGAGATAGAGTTGCCCATACCCCCTTGTAGGCAAAATATAAAATAATGGTTGTTGATACTAAAATAAAAATATACAAGTTAATTTTCACCAAGTTGAATAGACGAGAAACTACAAATTCTCATTTTAAAAAAGAACTCTGATTTTTAAATGTATGCTACTAAAATATATAAAGTTACTTTACCTTAGTTTATTGCAAAGACAAAGACAGCAAACTTGAATTACAATCTTATATTTTACACATGTCATTACTTATCCTCTCCATTTCATTCATTCAACTCTGCAAAATGTCGATACACACAATATCTGGCATTCTTGGGATTGTTTTAACATAAATTCACTGCTTGAGGTTTTTCAGACTATACAAGTAGTTAAGTTCTTGCATATCCTTGAGGGTTCCTGTTGTGTTTTATTTTTGCTTATGTTGATTTGTACTCGCTTAGTAATAAGTTTTAAAAGTTTATTTATTTATTTATTTATTTTTTAGTAACTAACTCAGCATTTTAGTAGTCTCAGTTGGGGAATCCATTCAGGAAATCTAATTTTCCATACTGCCAGAATTAGAAGATCTATATAATTATATCATTAACATAGTTGTAATTGATGTGTATACTTACAATATCTTTGTCCTTTTCTATTTAATATTTTTATATACAAATTTCCTTCTATTTTTGTTGTCTATGCATCATTTTAATAGGTGCATAATGTTTTTTGGTTGCACCATAGTTTGTATAGTCAATGCTATATTTGCTTTTTTTCCCCCCCAACTTTGTGATTTTAATGGTGTTGCTAGGTAACTATATCCATCAATTTAAAAGTCTCTCTTTTTTTTCTTCCTTTAGGTCAGCTTAATGTAAACCAGTTACTGTCAAAGAAGATACAATTGACAGTAGAGGCAGAGGTAAGTACCTTTTTTAGGAATAAGAATGTATTTTTAGTGTAAATAGTTTAATTCAGTAAAAATTCTTAATGCTAAATTGCTGAAAGAATTAACTAAAATTTCTTGTCAGTTGACGTTATCTTGTTGTAGAACAAGGAAAACAAGGTCTGATGCCTTGTCATGCTACATAAGAATTTTCTTTTTATTCTACCCATCACTATTCTGTTGTGGCTCTTACAGCAAACCACGTTAAAAGCCAATACAGTTGAATATCTGCATGAGTGCTTTAGGGAAGCAGCTATCATGATGCATAGTGAATAACCTCCAATAAGTGCTGAATCTAAATCTGGCAGCAGATTGATTCCCTGACAGGGAAGTAGAAGAAATATTAGCTCAAAAAATGTAACAGCATGGAGTAATTTCAAATGGGGCAAACAGTTCTACAAGTTAGAATTCAGCAGTACTCTCAGGAAATCCTGAAGGACAAAGAACACTTTGTTTTATTTTTTAATTCTAAGCTGCAACTGTATCTGCCTGAATATAAATTGACTTCAAATCTGAGAGAAGCTCCCATTTTCCTAGTGAGAAAATGACTTGCAAAATTTATTGGCCAACTTGAATTATATGATCTTGCAACCATGTAGATGAAATAGGCTTTTTGTAAAAAAAAAAAAAAGAAAGAAAGAAAGAAAAACGTACTTACGTATAAAACCAAAACCAAATTCACTGGCATTGAGTTGGAACCGACTCATAGTGACCCCTCTTTGGGTTTCCAAGGCGGTATCACTGCAGAAGTAGATTGCTCAATCTTCCTTCTGAGGAGTGGCTGGTGGGTTTGAACCGCCAGCCTTCTGGTTAGCAGTCTAGGAGCTCTGGTGGCATAATGCCTAAGGCATTTGGCTGCTAACCAGAAGGTTGCTGGTTCAAACTCACCAATTAATCTTCAGAAGGAAGAGGAGACAGTCCACTTCTGTAAAGATTTACAGCCTTGTAAACCCATTGTTTGTCGCTGAAACTACAATGGTTGAGGTCATTTCTGGCAAATTCCTTTTCTAATTAATATGTTGTTTTTTTTCTATTATGAAAGACTGTTTAAGACTTAATAATTAAGCAATTTTTCCACTTATCACAGGGATAATTTTTAATTTTGGCTAAGAAAAGAAAAATCTGTTTAAAATATAGGTATATATATTGTTTTAAGGGCCCAATCTTGCTAATTTACTGATTAAAGTGAAAGAGTTTTATTTTATATTTACAACAACAAGAATAACAAAGTGCAGTTTCTGAGGCAGCTTATATACAACCAAACACCTCATGGGATCTCATTTCTTGGTTTGGAGACTTAGGGTCATGGTTTCATGAGACATCCCAGCTAATTGGCCTTTGGTCATCTTTAGTGCTTTTGTTCTGCCTCCTAATTCATTATGTAGTGCCTGTGGTCTTAAAAGCAGCCATCCAGGGTAAAACAATTGGTTTCTATTTGTCCAGAGCAACCGAGGAAGAAGGAGAGTCAGGAATAGGAAGAGGATATGAGACCAGAAAACTGGATGGTACCCAACTGTCATTACTGAAATAGTTGATCAAATATTCTACAGATGAATCTTTATCAAAAGGAGAGAAATGCAGAACAGATTATCATGGAATCCATACTTCTGGAGCCATGGAGGCTGAATGGACCCCTGAAACTGTTCCCCTGAGATAATCTTTAAACCTTAAACCAAAATATCCCCTGAAATCATCTTAAAATCAAGTAAGAGTTGAGTTTAACTAGTTAAAAAAGGTCTATCTTGAGCATTGTGCTCTTTTAAGAACCATCCCTATGAAATAAAATTGACAACAATTGAAAAATAGGAAACTTAGAGGGCAGTGAGTTTATGTTAAATGATTTATGCCAATGATTACATTCTTTAAGTTGTATAACCATTCTCACCCTCAGAAAGGGAGGGTGAGAATAGTTATACAACTTAAAGAATGTAATCATTGGCAATGAATTGAACATGGAGAAATTGTTGTTTTGGTCTGTGCTCAGCTGTGTATATTTTCAACAACAACAAATTTAAAAAAGAAGATTTTTGCTTTTATGGCTCACTAGAATGTTTTTGTTTTATTCCTCTAGATCAGCAGGATACGTAGTTATTAATTTGTTCTATGAGTGAATAAGGAGTTTCAGATAGATGAAGGGACAGTCTCTCCATGCAATTATCACTAAATATTTCAAAAAATCTAAAGTGGAGGTGAACCTTTATGTATTCAGAATTGAAAATCCAAAGAGGGGAGAGGAAGTGGAGGGGAAAGAAAAAAAGGGAAAAGTAGCAATGGGAGGGGGTGTTTGAAGGACATCAGTTTTAAAGGTTTTTTTTTGGGGGGGGGCAGAATATTCTACTTCTCTGCTTATATATGAATTGTGGTGTGGTGCCTAAGGCATTTTGACTGCTAACCAGAAGGTTGGCAGTTCAAACCCACCAGCCACTCTGCAGAAGGAAGAGTGGGCAGTCTACATCCATAAAGGTTACCATCTCTGAAACCCAAAGGGGGTTGCTATGGGTTGGAATCGACTCAATGGCAGTGAGTTGTTTTTTTTTTTTTTTTTTAATAAGTAGGTAGCTGGCTTAACTGGCTTATTAATCAGTCAGTAAAATTATTCAATTCCTTAGTTTGATCAGTTAGAAGGATTAGAAAGAGAGAAGAAAGAAATTAGTGAATTAAGGGAAAAGAAACTGAGGAAAAGGTAGACATTTGTTTAGCTAGAATATTATTTATTAAGCTGTATTGTGCAAATGGGGAGCTTTGGTGACATAGTGCCTAAGGCTTTTGACTACTAACCAGAAGGCTGGCGGTTCAAACCCACTAGCCACTTCTGGGAAGGAAGATTGGGCATCCTACTTCCCTAGAGATACTGCCTCAGAAACCTCTCCAGGGAGGGGTCACCATGAGGGAAAAGTTTGGTTTTATTGTGCAAATGATAGAAGGATTACAGAGTGGTGCAAGATTTGTTCCCTACTGTTAAGGAAGAGAATGGCAAAGAACTGTCCATAGCAATTTAGATCTGTAGATAGAGGAACTCATATTAAGAGGTATGAAAGAGATAGTCAGGTATTGAGCCAGCCTTAAATTGAAGGTGAGCAAGAGTGAAGCAGGTGGTGACATTAGTAGGTTGAACTGAGTGAATCTCTGAAGGTCACTTTTAGGTCTACAGTGCTGTCATAAAAATAAAGTTTTAAGTACTTATTTTTATTTGATGCTAGCAGAATCATACAAAATTGTGTAATCCTTAGTCATGACCTTTTGAAATCCTTAGTATTGTGTTGTAACAAGACTTAAGACAGCGACACGGTCTAAGGGAGATTCAAACGATTAGGTCCCAACCAACTTACAATGATAGATAAATTAGGTCTGTTTTAACTTTGCTTGGTTAAACTGAATTGTTTTGATTGTCAGCAACAGAATTCTACTTTGAGCATTTAAGCATAAAGCGAATGTATTTGGTAGTAGTTTACCTCATAAAAATCATAAGAGAGAAATTGAACACTGAAGCTTTGGGAATAAGGACAGTAGCAAGAGGTCATAAACTATCTTTCTGGATATTTCAATTCTGTTTAGACGTGGTTTCAAAACTCAGAATTTCAGATTTAAGAGAGAGAACTGAGTCACTTGGTTTTACCAGTTGGGCAGGGCGATATATACTATATATAGTATAGCCTTTGCCTGGCCACTGGGTGCCTTTTCTCAACTCTGAGGACAGTTTCCAGAGAAAAGTGAAAATATGGAGAAGCTTCCAGAAATAGGGAGTGTCTTAACTATTAAGATTTGCAGAACTTATTTCTGTTAATGTAGACAATAATTTTAAAGAGGGAAGGTTACAGCTAATGCAAAAGCTGAAGATATGAAAAATATTACTTCCTACTTCTACTTCTTGAATATACTTACGTATTTCTTGCAACATATTATTTGCTTCTTTATAGTATTTCAAGTTATGCTTTTCACGTCTATATTGTATGTTATTTATTGCTCAACCATTAAGTGAGCAAATGACAGAATCAAATGACATGGGTGCACATTAGGGCTTCTTTTCATGGCTTATTGTTTGTTCAAATAACTCCTTCTGGAAAAGTTTTTAAATAGTGCTGATCTATCTTATTATTGGCAGACTACTGGGGAGAAAAGTCTAAGTATTTTCTGCACAGAAGTGCTTTGATTATTTTAAGGTTAGGTCCTGCTGTAATAGTAAACACAAAAATAATAGTGGTTTAAACAAGATAGAAATATATTTCCATTTAATATAAAAGCTACAAAGATAGGAAGCCCAGAAATGTCATGGTGGCTATGTGGCCCTCAAAGATGCAGGTTCCTTCTAGCTCCCTGCCTCACCCTTCTAGGCTGTGACCCTCTTTCTGATCACAGTCCAAATAGGCTTCCAGAGCTTCACCTGTTTCACCTGAGTTCCAAACAGCAGAAGTGAAGTAGAGACAGAAGGGGAGTAAAGACCAGGCACCAGCTTTCTTTTAAGGAATGTTTCTGGAGACTGTGACAAACCAATTCTGCCTGTGTCTTATTGGCACCTAGCTGCCAAGGGAGACTGGGAAATTTATTTTTTCTGAGTGGTGGCATGTGTACAGAAATCTAGTATTCTCATATTAGGGAAGGGGACAGGGGATGATACAGTTGGGAGCTAACAGTCTCTACTACAACTATCCTTTTTATTTTCCTCTCCCTGATTTGGTCACATCTTAATTTTCTCCTTTGGCTAATAGTAAGCTCTGGTAGCATAGTGCCTAAGGCACTTGACTGCCAGCTAGAAGGCTGGCGGTTCAAACCCACCAGCCACTCCCCCGAAGGAAGGTTGGGCAATCCACTTCCGTAGTGGTACTGTCTTGGATACCCAAGGAGGGGTCGCACATAACAATAACAACAAGTATGACTACCTTCTTTTGATTCCCTCCCCCCACCCACCTTTTGTCTTGTCTCAACATAAACTATGAAGTCTCTAGTCCACTTGGAATTTAGTTTTAAAAAACCAAACC